TAGGCATGTGTTATTGCACACAGAGACGTGTGTGTGTGTGTGTGTGTGTGTGTGTGTGTGTGTGTGTGTGTGTCCTATGCGAATCAGTCAAATGATATTCAAATGAGAGGACACAGTGTGGCTGTTGTATGTAGCACCAGCCAACCACAGTGCACAGGATAGACACTTCATTTACATGTGTATTTGTTTCATGTACAGAGAGTTTTATTGGATGCGTTTTGCTCGGCTAAATAAAAAAAAAAAGCGCCATAAATGTACCGAAAAGTCATTAAAAGTTTCATATACGAACATGAAAGAACATTGGAAGTATTCTACAAGCATTGGGCCCTATGTTGACGGGCTCCTGTCCACATCAGAGCTGATCCTCTCCCAGTACAAGTCTATGGGAATGTAAAAGCAGCTGAAGCAAGTCATCCGCAGCTGCCAGTACATTCTGAGTGATCTCAGGAGCAGCTCACGCTGATGTCAAAGTAAACTTAATTTGCCTATTATCACAAGACCAAAGCCTGATGACAGAGGTCCGTAGTGCTATGCAAATGAGGCAACACCTTCCCTTCAATTGTATAGGTGCCAAAACGGTGCCAAAACACTACATCAGAGGTGGGCAAACTCCGGCCCTCCAGCTGTGGTGAATCTACAGATCCCATCATGCACTTGCCTCTGGGAGTCATTAGTTTGTGCCTACCCCTGCACTACAATAACAGTCGGAGGATGAAAGGTACATACATGCACTGGTTCATTTTAAACGTGATCTACAGGCATGACCCCAATGCTTCCCTCTCCCCCTCTAGATCATGCCACAGCATCATTTTTTTCCTTTTATCTTGTTCCTGTAGAAGGGAACAGCTTTTATTACTTGCTGTGACATCATCACTAGGCTCACAAAATTCTCGCAGAGAAGACACCAGCAAGGTACCCTTCGACAATTTCTAATGATGTAGGCTCAACTCCAGAGCTACATCTCCCAAGAGTCTTTTCTGTAGTCATGATGGGCAGAGCTGGGCATGGGGTGAGTGGCCCCAGATAGGCTGGGTTATGTAGTCATGATGGGCAGAGCTGGGCACGGGGTGAGTGGCCCCAGATAGGCTGGGTTATGTAGTCATGATGGGCAGAGCTGGGCACGGGGTGAGTGGCCCCAGATAGGCTGGGTTATGTAGTCATGATGGGCAGAGCTGGGCACGGGGTGAGTGGCCCCCGACAGGCTGAGTTCTGTAGTCCAGCAGAGGAGAACTGGGGCAGGGCTGACAACACTGCTTGGGATTTCAGTGCAGCTCTGTGTTGTCAGCCTGCAAGTTAGATGCTCGCTGGCTTTTCTCTCTGACCCGTGTCACTCTGACCGCTGTAACATGACGGCCTTTTATACCATTATCAAAAAGTTTTTATTTACCTTTTTGTTTTCCATCAGGGGTTTCCCACGCATGATACAGAGGGCAAGGAACTAAGCAAAGGCCAGGCCAAAAAACTCAGGAAATTGTACGACGCTCAAGAAAAACTTTACAAAGAATATCTGCAGATGGTTCAGAATGGAAACGCTAACTGACATCCCCTTGGAAGGGAAAACTGTGAACAAACGTTGAAGGACCACGACTGTATTT